CCCAGCCCCCTCCTTTGACTTGGAGCCCATAGGGGAGATGGGGCCTGGGTAGGGCCGGATGGGGGTGGTGGTAGTGGTGTGTGTGTGTGTGTGTGTGTGTGTGTGTGTCTGCTTCCTCTCCGGGGGTCTAGTGGTCAGTGCCCGAGCACATGAAGAAAGGCTTGGGATGAGATGTGATGAGCCGCCCCTGTGGGTGCCCCAGGGAACAGGCTCTGCCGGGCCTGGTGTCCTTGTCCCCAGCCATCTCCTGACCCTGTCAGTGCCAGGCTCAGGCAATGTCTGCCTTCAATCCTGACATCCTACTGTTCCTTTTTGGGGCTTCCTCTGGCCCAGACCATCTGTGGGGGGGAGAGGGGGAAAGAGCTGGGGCACAGTGGGTGGTGTTGGTGTGTGCCCCACTGGGGTGTTTACATGATGGCCAGGGCTCCTGGGCTGCTCCGTGCCAGGTTCCGGAGACTTGGAACACGAGAGAGGCAGGAGCGGCAGGCGGAGCCCCTGTGGAGAGCACCTGGCTCAGGTAATTGTCCCCCTAGGGAGATGGCTGCAGAGAGAAGGAGGAGTAGAGGCGGGAAGCTGGGGAGGGGGTGGGGCAGTGGCTTTAGGAAGGGCCCCCTCCCCAACTTGTTCACAGGACCCACTCCACCCTCCCTGGCAGACAGCAGGGCATGACGGGAGGCTGGGGCCAGCTTTTAGCCCAGGGTCAGGCCTTAACACACTGCCAAGTTGTGGAATTCTAGGACTTGGGACAAGAATGTGTATCCTCCCTCTCTCCCTCCTTCCACCTAACACTTTCTTCAACATTGGTTAAGGCCCATCTCACGTCTAGCCCTGGTCTTAGCTGGGCCTGCTGTTAGAGCCAGTTTTTGAGCCTGAATCTCTGCACCCCTAAACCCCTCTGGGACCTGAGTGTTCCCTCCTCTCTCTCAGCAACTCGAGGGCAGGGCAGTTCCAAGAACAGGGCTCTGGGCAGATGGCCTTCAGCCTGCCCTCAGCCCATGTGGGCTGCAGATCTGGGGTGGGCCTCCTGGGAGGGGAGTCCAGAGCTGGGCACAGGGAGGGGTGGGGAGGGTACGGCAGCCTCCCGCACCTCCCCTACCTGCCAGGTGGGGTCTGCGTGCCGGAAGTAGCAGAAGTTGTCCGTGATCCACTTGTAGATGGCCGAGAGTGTGATCTTGGTGGCCTTGCTGGCCTGCATGGCCATGCAGATGAGCGTGGCGTACGAGTAGGGTGGCTTCACGTGCGGGTTGGTGGCATAGTCCACGTCGTCCGGGGGCGGGGCCTGCAACCCCGGGGGGGCGCTCCTGGACGTGCACGAGGACGTGGGCTTGCCCGGAGTGTGTGGTGGCCCCAGGCAGGCCGGGTCGGCAGCCAGGGGGGACCCTGGTGCAGCCGAGCCTGGCACCTGGTGGTAGCCGTGGGGGTCGGCGCCCCCCGGGGGCAGGGTGGGGGCCTTGGCGCTGAGGATGGAGAACTCCTGTAGCCACTGCAGACTGGTCAGGCTGTCATCCAGGGCGTCGGGCTCCTCCAGGCCACCCTCGGGCAGGGCCTCCTCCGCTGGCCCCGCACCAGGGAGGCGCAGCCAGTTCTCTGCCATGTCTGCGCCGGATCTCCGAGGGGGAGGTCACCATCCACAGGCTGACCCCCGCGGCTCCAGTTACGCGGCCGCACGGACGCGCGCGTCCATCTCGCGGCCCCAGGCCGACGACTCCGAACGAGTGAGTGGTCGCCTGTGGGGACCGCGGGGGGCTGAGCGCTCTCCCTCATCACTCCACGAGAGGAGTGAGTGGCGGGGTCGGGGGCTGAGCAGGGCCCGCGGGCTCCGCCGCCAAGTTGGCCGCCTCTCCTTTCATTTCTCCTCGAGAATTCAGAGGGGGCCCTCCGAGTCAAGCGGGGGTGGGGAGGAGGAGGGGTGCCCCGTTCTCGGACGAGCGAGAAACCAGTACCCTCCCCAGCAAATGGGAATGGGAAGGGAGGGGCTAGCACCTTGGAAAGAGCTACTCCGTGAGGGGGTCCCAAGAAAGGGGACGGAACGGGACAGACGGACGGGGGAAGTGATCCGCAAGTCCTCACATATCAGCCCCTGGACCTCCCACTTCCTCGGGGACCCACGGGGGCGCGGACTAGGGACCTACCCCCTCCCTGCTCTTGGCCCGCAGCCCTCCCGGTCCCTTACCTGGCTCTCAGTGCAGCCCGGGCCAAAAGAAGGTTCTGGAAGTAGTTCCTCCCACCCCCCGTGGCTCTCTGCCCCCAGCTCGAGGGCCCCACCAGCGCCCCTCGACGCCCCCCCGCCCGACAGCACCTCTCTGAGCGCCCGTGGACCCGGGACCGGCATTAAGTAGCCGCTCGGAAAGGCTTCTCCAGCTGCCATGGCGACGCCCCGCCCCTGTAAACAGCTTCCGCAGCTGCTATTGGCCAGATCGCCTCCTAGGAGACCGCGGCCCTTCCCCGCGGCAATTCTCGGGCTCTCCCTCCTAGGGCCGCGCTTTCTGGCCCGCCCAGCCCCCGCGCCTTCCCGCCCGCGGGCCCTGCACTCCCGCCCGCGGCGCGAACCGCCGGCGCCCGCCGCGGCTGGGGGGGGGCGGGTCTCTCGCTCGGGAACCGTATCCTTGGGGTTCCCGCCTCGCCTCGGGGGGCTGCGAGCGGCACCTTCTCAGGTTTCCGTGGCTTTCCCTCTTCCCCGACCCTCCTTTGGTGTCCGGTGATGCCACCTGCGCTCGGGCCCGCAGACGCGCCACGCCGAGGCGGGCAGGGCGACCGGTTCCCGGCAAGCGGCTCCCCGCCCCACATCCAGTCCAGAGCTGGAACTCGAGGCTTCCGGCCTAAGCGCAGTCCCTCCCCCAAATGCAGTGGAGGCCTCCGGAATACTGCGGACTGGCAAATCGTCCCAGCGGGGTCATTTGCCCCATAACCTCACCAGCTTTTTAAACGACAGGGACAGGGGAATGTGTTCCGCCCTTCTCCCTTGCTCTGGCCTCCCTCCTGTCACCAACCTCCCAGCTCTTTAATTATTGAAGGGCTGCGCTGCGCTCTGGACTTCTCCGGTTTAAGGCGGCAGCCCAGGGGGCGAGGGTGGGGTAGGGCTCTGGCCCGCCCCCGCAATGACCGGTAACTCCCGTGGGAGCAGCGGGACTTCCCCCACTCCTTGCAGATCGCCCTGAATACCGACCCCCACAAGCCCTCGGACACAGTGGGTCACGAAGAAGTCACCTTCCTGGTTACCAGCGCTCCTTCCCTTGTAAACAGTTTTATTCACGTTTGAGAATCATGCAGCAATCCATAAATATTGCATCCTTCACGTCCCCGCCGAGGTGGCCGCGCCCACCCGTGTCCTCCCGGGAGCTAGGGAGTGCGCAGCAGCGGCGTACACGCACTCACACTCCGGGTGTGTCGGTGCAAAAGCGGAGAGCAACCAGCATGCCAGGGCAGGCAGGGGGATAGGGCCCTCTTCCTCTGTGCTATGCCCAGGAGCTGCCCCCTGTGGGAGCACCCACTTTGGGGAGGGAGTGGATAGAAGAAAAAGGCTGGGCATGGAAGCTGGCTCCTGGCTCCATTGGAAGGCTTACACCTGAGGGGCCAGGAACCCATGGCTTCTGGGCCAAGCCTGCCTCTGAGGTGTCCAGCTTTTCTGTGTCCCAGAACACAGAGCACCCGCACAGGTGGGGGAGGGTGGGCAGGCCCTTTGTATTAGAGCAACAGGAGGGAGGGGAACGCTGCCCACCACCCTGGTTGTCAGGGGCCAGGATCCCCACCTGTTAAAGGGAGCTGGGGGCGGGCAGAGGGGGTAGGGAAGGTCAAGCCCATCCTGAGGAAGGACCCAGATCTTCATGGAGGGGATGCCGATAACTGCCTTCTCTAGAGTTCCCTGTGGCTACTGTCTGTCTGACTCTCCTGCAACTTGGCTCCTTAGGGGATCTCAAGATCACACCACACTGTCACTGCAACCTGCAGGGAGGGAGGTGGATCTGCCAGCCCCTACCCCCGCTCAGCCAGGGAAGCTCCCCTGTTGCTGGGTGTTTACGGAGCCCCAACTTCAAGGAAGTCGAAATGGGATTATTGCTCAACGTATCTTGGTTAGACATGAGAGGGGCTGTAAAATGTTGGGGGAAGAAAGGAATTAAGTTGGCTTGTAATAATGGCGTCTACTGAGGTATTCCAGAGAAGATGGACTGTGGAAGTCCAGGTAGGAGTAGCGACCCAGGCTCATCTACGCTGCGGCCCAATCAGGACAACGGCCCTCCTCTTGACCAGGGAGGACAAAGGCCATTTCTTCCCTCCTGGGCTACTGCCACAAAGGGTCCCCTGGGTGCTGGGCGCCCTCTGAAGAAGATCTTTCTGGGCTGCTGAGGTCCATGGGGAGGGGAGTCTAGTGCTTTCTTTCTCCGCCTCCCGAGGAATTGTACGGGACTTGACTTCGCAAGTCATCTCATGCTCTCCTAAAGAACCACCTCCCCCAAAGCCTACAGCGCAAGCATCTCTCCAAGAGCTGGTGGGCCCCCACCCTGATAATGCCAGGGGTAGGGAGGGATGACTGGGCTTTGTCCAGCCTGTCCAAGGCTTTGGTTTATAGGCAGTCCCTCAGGGGGGGTCACACACGATTTGGACACCACCACCTGTAAATCTCTCAACTCACGAGCCCATGGAAGGCTCCCTTGAGTCACAGGGCCCCCACCTCTCTCTTCACCCATCGGACTCAGCAGATCTGGAAGGCAGGAAAGACGCTGCCTGGCACCTCTCAGGCCCTGCCACTGGCCCCAGGCTGTCCATTTCCTCTGGAGCTCTGAAGCCCATTCCTGTAACTATTAACTGAACAGAGTGGAGATGGGGTACCCGGGCTGAACCCTGCCCCCCAGGGCTGTGGTGAAGAGGAAAAATGTGGTGACAGCGTCTAAGAGTGCCTGGCATGTAGAAGTGGTCAGAACATGTGTTCCTGGAGGTGGATTCTTAGGAGGGACCATAGGCATCATGGATGCTCTGATGGGGAGGGTCCTTCTGTGACAGGGGACGGCTCTGGGACCAGGGCAGCTGCTTCTGCCAACACTTCAGGGACCACCTTTGCTCTGGGACTTGGAGAGGGAGACGCAGAGCCGGTGCAGCGTGCTCCTCCCTTCTCGCGCAAGTCCTTCCCAACCCCACCCAAACTGGAGCTTGAAATTGGCTGTGAGGTTACAGAGAATGTTCCAGAAAATGCCCAGTGGGTGCTTGTGAGGAAGTTGCCCAAACCTAGAGGTTTCTGGCCTGACCCCTAAGGAGAGAAAAGACATACAAGAAAGACCAGGATGTGGAACTTGGCTCTGCCTGACGCTCAGAGACTGGGGTGCCGAGGACTCCGAGTTGCCCGGCTCCCAGGAGTGACTGCAGCCGGGGAGAAAGCAGGCTTCCCAGTTCCTCAGGGCCGGGGCGAGGGGGGAGAGGTGGGGGGCTTGGGGGGGACGATCCACAGTTGCAGGAGGAGATGAGGCTGGGAGAGGGGCAGGCTGGCCACCGCACCAGCTGGCTTTTGCACAGGCTGAGTCTTGAGGAGGTGGCCCGGTGAGGACGGGACGGAATGTGAGGACAGTGGGTGGGTTGGGGTCCTCAGACAGCTAGCGGCCCCCACACGCAAGCCCTGTCCTCAGGGTCCTCCAGGCTGCTGGACGATAAGCGCCGGCGCTGGGTGCTCCGCCGACCCACAGCATTGTCATCAACCTGCCAGCCCCCTGGGGAAGAGAGAGGGGCGGTTACAGGGGCCAGGGCTCTGGCGAGGTGTGGACGGTGCCTCCAGCAGGGCGGCCCAGAGCTCGCAGGATGCGTGTTCCCTGAGTGCTGTATGTGTGCACAAGCCACCTTGTGAGAATTGGGAGGCGGAGCGAGCAGGGGCCCCCAGAGTTCCTGGTTTTGTGAACTTAGCCTACGGTCCACTTTGGTGTCTTACTTGTTGGGTTTCGCGGTTTGCTTCTATGTTGTGACCAAGAAGGACCTGGGTCCAGCTGAGCCCAGCAGCAGGGCAGGAAGAGGTGGAGGGCGTGAGAAGAGTCAGTAAATTTGGGCCCAAGTGTTAGTGTTTGCGCCAACACCCCTGCCTGTTTCTCCAAGGGGTCCCCCAGGTCTGTCCAAGGGGCGCCTCCTCTTGCTCAGCCTATGAGCAGCTGCACTCAGGCCCCAAACCCCAAGCAGCCGCCTCTGCTTTGCTCACCTCCTGTACCTGTCTGAGTGCTGTCCTCAGGGCAACCTGCTGGCCACAGCCTAGCGGTGGGACTTGGGCAAACCCCTGCTCTGAGCCTGAGTCTCATCCACAGCGGGAGAGGGAGAGCCTTAGCTCAGAGGACTGCTGTGAGCCACATGTGCCAGCTCACAGCCCGGCCCTCTGGCTGCGGTTTGACAAGTCAGTGGAGAGGCCCTTTCCCCAGGAAGGGCAGGCCCAGGGCTCCCCATCCCCATGCACTGCGGGCCTGGCTAGCCTTTCCTCCTCTGGCCACAGGGACCTCGTGAGCCTCATTTCCTGGCACCATCCCAAGCATGCACAACCTCGGGGTTCTCTCTCCTGAGCGCCTGCATGTCTCCCAGCCCATTCCTCACCCTCCACCGGGGTTTCATTCTCCGCCTCCCCCCTAGACTGTCAGTTCCTTCTGGTCCGGTGGGCGAGCGGCTGGGCAAATCTCATCCACTGCTGTGCCCGAGCCTCGCACGGGGCCTGGCCCTACACAGGCTGAGCGACAGCCAGTGCAGCAGTCCCAGGCTCACGGCACTTCAAGTCCCAGGGAGGGGACTCAGGAAAGGCTGGGGCCGCCTCAGAGGTCAGGCCGGCCTCAGACCAAAACTCTGAGGGCAGAAGCACCAGGGCCCAGCAGTGCCTGCGGTGATCCCACCAACATCCTGGGGCGGTAATCAGCCCTGAGGCCCTAGCAACTGTGGGTGCTGGTGGACCCTAGAGAGAAAGGCCTCTCGCACACCCAGCTGGGTCTGGGCAAGGGTCTGAGGTGTCTTTTCCCTTCCCTGGGTGGCGCTCGGTGTGACAGGATGGCAAGAAGGCAGTGTGGCCTTTTAGAAGCTAGCAGCCCCGACACACAGTGCGCTGTTTGTTCGCTGGTAAACGTGTTAGGTCTCATACCTAGTCCTCAATGTTTATGGGGCAGGACTCCGGAGCTGCGGCTGTTTGGTAGGAAAGACCAAAAGCAAATGGTAAACGAGAGAAGACACACATGCATGCACAAAGTAAAACAGCAGCAGCACACCAGGAACGGGCTCCAGGCATGTGACCCTCAGAAGCCGGCTGGCTGAACCCATACGCCACCCGAGAGCCCTGGCTGAGGGCCCCCACCAGCTCCTACATCTGGAAGGAGCCCTAACAGGTGGCTCTGTGGTCTCTGGAGCCTCAGTAGCCCACATGACAACCCCCCCTCCCCCCAGACAAGGACTCCTGAGGGCCCACAGTGGCCTGGCCTCAGTAAAGAACCGGGGAAGGCTGAGGAGGGGTTCGGAACTTGAGAGCTACCTTCTTGTCTGGCTAAAAGCCAATGCCCTCTCAGCAGGAAATGGAGCCTGGAGATTTGAATCTCGTCAGTGCTGACTCCTAGCGACCCCCTGTGGGTTTCTAAGACTCTGTTTAGGGGAGTCAAAAGTCTGGTCTTTCTCCCATGAGGCTGCTGGTGGTTTCAGACTGCCGACCATGCAGATCGCAGCCCAACCTGTAACCACTGCACCCACCAGGGCTCCTTCAGGGTGGGCAGGGGTGGACTTACTCTCCAGGGGGTGGGTCAGTTCCCTTATTGGAGAAAGGAGCTGGGAGAGTGAAGAGACCCCTAGGGGTAGATGTTGGTGACCTCTATCGCTTCTCTCCCGGTGGAGGAGAATCTCGGTTCTGATTTTCGTCACTGCCCTCCACCCCTTCCCAAGAAGGAGCAGCCTAGGAGCAGCCTAGCCGCAGGCTAAGGGCTTGAGGAGAGAGGGCTGCATTGAAGCTCAGGTCACTAGAAGTAGTTCTAGATTCCACTGGAGACCCTCTCTCCTACAGCTGTGTTTTCCACGAACAGACCCAAATAGCCTTTGCTTCCCCACTGCAGTCACGGCCAGACTGCTTTTCCCAGGCAGCCCGCCCAGACTCTGAAACGACACCCTGAGGACCGACCCCTGTCCACTTGGATTTGCACCCACCGAGAACCTTCGAGAAGCAGTCTCAGACACACAGCCCCACCTAGTGTGAAGAGCCAGAACCCCACCCTTGGTCTGGGGCTGAGAGGGGCAGGAGGCTTCCTGGGGAAGAGGCTGAGAGGCACAGGCCTCTGCTCCTCACAGAGGGTGGTGGTGGTGGCGGGGAAGGGAGCCTGGTAGCCTGGCCCTGGTGGGTCTCCCTGCAGAGCAGGCACAGGGGCATGGGAGGCTGGTGGTAGGCGTGGTGAGAGTGAAGGATGGGGGGCTCCCCCGGGGCTCCCCTTCTCATGCCTTCGTGAGGAGAGCGTGTCTGCTTGGCAAGGCAACAAGCCAAGTGGAGACCGCAGCATGAGCGCTGTCCAGACCAGGAACCAGCTGGCCTCGGATACGAGGAGCCAAGCCGCCCTGCAGGGGTCCTGGTCAGTGGTCAGCGGGTGTCTCAACTTCCAGCTGGGTGTGAGGAGGCCTATTTACTCCACAGGGACCTACCACAGTGCAAGCTCCGTGCACAACCCAACTGATGCGAAGAGCAGAAGCCGAGAAACGGTTCCGGTGGGAGGGGGTGGTGCAGCCCTCTGTCCCCTCCAGCAAGAACTCCTAGACCTCTGGGGAGAGAGGACCCATCCAACGTTGGGTCCCACTCAGCCTGGTCCCACTCAGCCACCACCAGGAAGGCTGTCTCCCTCGCTCGTTCCCCTCCCCCAACAAGCACCAGCAAGCAGGCTGGCAGGAGGGGGCAGGAAGAGGAGGGGTAAGCCCCATGCCCACCACCATGGGCAGCTCGAAGCAGAGCTTCCCCAGGCCCAGGGCAGAGCTGGAGCAGAGTGGCCACTGACCACCAACACCAATGGGAGGTGAGCCCCTGACCGTTTATTGTGTGGCAGGATGTAACTTATTCTCACTCCTCTCTTTCCTTGGACACTTAAGTGTCGTGGCTGCAGGCCCGGACCAACGGGGGAGACCTGTGTGGTGACTGGCGGCTGGCCACTGGCCGAATACCAGCCGGCTCGGGGCAAGTGGCAGTGTTGGCACAGATTGGACATAGACGCTCCACACGTGAGTTTGAAAAGAAACAAACCAGACGGACATTCACATTTGGTGGAGAGACATGGGACACAAATGGACAGACAGAAGCAGACCACAAGTGGGGAGGTGGGAGGTGCGCTTGGGCTGGCTGGCTGGGAGGCTGGCCGAGGGGCCCACGCTCCCTCCTCCCTCCCTGTGCCAGGGAGCCGGAGACACCACTTCTTTTGGCCTCACTGGGCAACAGCGACAGGAAAAACTCATGGGTGATGGCCGTTGGCCGAGGAGCCTTTGGACGGCTGCAGGCACGGAGGACGGCTTGCCTAGGGCCCAGCTGTGGGGGCTGGGCGCCTGGGGCCTGTGCCCCCCACAGGGCTGGTGGAGAGTGGCGACCCACAGGAGGGGCTGGCTTTCAACGCCTCAGGCCACTTCTCCAAGCGAGCGAGGAAAGCACTGGACCCAGGAGGTGGCTGTTCTGCGGGTGAAAGACAGCTTCCTTCCGGGCGGGGAGGGGCCTTCAAGAGGATTAGACCACCACCACGGGGAGCACGACCCCTAGGGGTAAGGCCTCAGCTGGTGCCATGGGGGTGGGGGTGGTGGGGGTGGTGTGTGTGTGTGTGTGTGTGTGTGTGTGTTGAACACGGTTCCTCTCTAGGAAGTGACCCTGGGTTTGGAGTTGAGTATGGTGAGATGGGTCAGGCCTGAAGTGATGAATCCCCTGACCTGGCCTTGGGTCACTCCTTGCTTCTCTGCAAACATGGGTCTCTGCTGACCATGCTTTGTCCCAGGGACGGGCTCATGCTGTCTTCCCTGGAGGGCTCCCTGTGAGGGGCAGGCCCAGGCCGCCTTCTGCGAGAATGGCCCCATCCTGACAGGGCCCTTTTCACTTTTCCCTCCCCGTCCTGATCTTCCCACTCAGGGGCTGCCCTTGGCAGGAGCTCCTCCAGGACTCCCCCCGCCCGGCTCACTTTCTCAGGGTTAGTGGCTGCCCGCATCCGAGCACATCCCGGAGCAGGGCAAGGGCAGGGGTCACGGTAAGGGACTGTCTCCCACCAAGTTCATGTTCAGCAGACGGCCACTCACCAGGTAAGCAGACCTCAGGGCACAGCTTATTGTCCAGTGCTTTCACGCTTGCGGTGTCAAAGTCATTGTTATTGTCACACTCCATACCTAGAAATGCGCTTGTCCTCTGGCCTGTAACGGAGTGAATGCAGTTAATAGCTGTCTCTGCTCTGCTGTCCTTAAAATGAAAGTCTTAAGGATGGAGACACACAAACCAAACCATGTGTGAAAAAAAAGACAGTCATAACTAAGTGCGTAAAGAGGACAGGAGAGGCCCCAGGCTGGGCGGGTGGGCGGGGCTGGCTTCTCTGGCCCGCGCCGCTGCCCCTTCCCACCATGGTTCTGCAGGGCAGGGGGGTGGGGTGGTGGTGTCCTGTGAGACCAGGGCAGAGCCATGCCATAGTGGCCAGGGAAGCTGCCCCTGCTGATGTCTCGGCCTGGGCCGTCTTGGGGACAAGTGGCTGTGTTCATGACACAGGGCTCTGCAAGAAGAAAAAGCCCGAAGGCAGCGGCTAAGTCCCTGGGTGTCCTAGTTCTGCGCCTTAGCTGACTTGTGCCCAGGAGACTCTGTTCTCCATGAAGTGGCTGACATTTGGGGGGAGTGGGGGGGTTTGTCTTAAAAGTTTGTTTTTCAAGCTAAGCCCCTTCCTTTATTTTCAGTGAAAGGGAGAAGAAAGCACAAACCCATCGTGTGGGACCCCTGTGGTGGCAGGGGAGGACATAGAGGAACCTATGACAGTCTCTCAGGCTGGTGGGCACAGCCTTACCATCCTCTTTGCCCAGGTGCCGGGCCGCATGCATGCGCCGCAAGTTCCCAGGCAGCGGCCAGGCCAGCCAGAAGCAGAAGGGACCCGCTGGCAGCTGCGGCCGGGCCTGTGCCCGGGCCCTTGAGTGCTGTGGACTGCCCTCCACAGGGCCCTCTGAGCAGCAGGGGAGCAGGTCTGGCTCTCTACCTTTTTTGAGTACCTGGCTGCAGGTTGGGCCCCCTCTCCTGGCTGCCCTTCCAGTGAGGGGAGAGGGCAGGCGGCTATGGAACACTGCCTGCGCTGAGCGGCTGCAGGACCTCAGCCCTGCCCGCTCCAACCCACCTCCAACTGTAACAACCTCAACCACTGCAAAGCCACACCGACCACGAGAGCGCAAGGAAGCAGCTGGTTCCAGCCAGTGCCTTGGGGCTCGCTCGGCAGGAAGGCAGTTGTGGAGGTGCCTGAGAAGCTCCAGAACCGACTGTATGTGCAGGGAGCACCCTGTGTCCCAGAGAGCTGGGGGTCGGTCATCCCTGACACCAGCTAGAATTCCTCCCCAGACACAGCCCGACCCCCCTGACCCTGTAAGGAGCCCCCAGGAAAGGGGTCTAAGGGTAGCCAAGGACCAGGTCGTTTACCAGCTTCCTGAGTAGGGGATCCGTGGTCTTCCTCTAGAACGTCGTTTCCCTACAGCAGAAGGAGGACGCACTGAGTCAGGCCCATGCTGAGCCTCCAGGCAGCTGAATACAGAGCCCACCACCCTCTGGTGGCCTCGCTCCAGGGCTGCATCAGGAGCACGCACTGCCCACACCTATGAGTCTGGGCCCTGGCCGGGAGGGACCCAGTCAGAGCCCCATTACAGGTGACACTCAAGTGGTTGGCCAGGGAGACCCTGTGTGTGGCCAAGTCAATCCAATCACACAGAAATCCTGTCAGGTCCCAAACTCTCTCCAAGAACTCCTCTCAGGAGACCTGGCCCCAGAGGAAGTTCTGTTCTCCTTGTGAGCTGGGTGTTCCCACCCAGCAGCGGCTCCATGGGAGATGGGTCTGAGCTGCTGCCTAGAAAGGCCCCTCCTGGGGGCCAGGGAGGGGACACAGAGGAGGACCCTGACAACACCCAGCAACAGCAGCGGGCTCTGGCACAGCGGTTACCCCCTGGCTGCCCCCTAGGTATTTCAGACTGGACTGGGGCGCCCCATACTGCCCCCTAGTTGTCCTTCAACAGCCCTGGGCGCAGTGTGGCCACTCTTCCTGCCCAGGCCATCAGCCTAGCCCAAGCATGGCCCGTAGGAAGTCTCTACTCACAGCTGCCCATCCCAAGTCCACCCCAGTCAAGGCTGTCTCCACGGGGCTACCTCTGCGTCCTGCTCCTCAACTGGGAGGCCAACGAAGTTGACATCTGGGGACTGCAGCGGCATCACCTGCGGACCAAAGACCAAGGGCAAGGTGACGCTCCCACAGCAGGGCCATGCCCAACCCAGCACCACTCCACTTACACAGGGTCCCCTAGATCTGGGAGAAAGCTTCGCAGCAGGGACCCCAGGGGACAGTTAGCTCCCCCCTCCATCTTTCCCTTACCTCTCCTTCCTCTGACGGGACCCTCCTTGGGGAAGGGAGGGCTTCACCCTCTTCTTCGGGGCCTGGGGCGATGTAGGAGCCGGACATGGAGGAGACGGTGTCGGAGCTGATCTGGGAGTGCTGGCTTTGAGAGGACGCCATGGACATGACCGACTGGGCCAGGCTGCTGCTGGCAGGGTCTTTGAGGCAGGAGGGGAGGGAACCAGCACCTCAGGGTCCTGCAGGGAGCAGAGCCCACCCCTTGCCCCCTGCTACATCCCAGTGCAGTGTGCGCCCTCAGGGTCCAGAGTCTTGTTTTCCTGGGCCGCTGGGGTCCAGAAAGAGTTGATGGCAGGACCGAGGTGAAGTCCCGAGACTGCCCACCTCACAGACAGACCAGGGCCCTGCTCCCCCAAGTACCTTCTGGGGAGGAGATGGTGGAGGAGAGAGGGGTCCCTGTGCAGGACGACTGGTCGACAGCTCCTGACGAGGACAAGGTCAGGTTCTCGCTGTCTGGGGTCACACCACATTCCTGCAGTGGGGACAGAGGGAAGCCACTGGGGCAGGCACCTGTGTGTGTGTGTGGGGGGGGGGCGCGGGAGGGGAGAGGCTGAGGGAAGCGGGGCTGGGGGCCCAGCTGCTCTTCTTTCTGCCAGCCCTGGCCTGAGTGAGTGGCGTCTCCCAGGGGACCGGTTGCCTTCAGTCAGCACGGCCTGCCCGAGGCCCAGCATCTGCCAGGCTGCACAAAGCCTGTGGCTCAAGTGACACCAGGCACCCAGCAGCTGGGACATGGGGACACCCCACTTTCTCCAGGACTGGGGACCACTCCCCTTCGGAAGGCAAAAGGACAGACACTAGAAGAGGCTCCTGTCTGCTGGGCTTACCTCTTAGATGCCCAGTGAGCTTGAGCTCAGCCCCTTTAAACAGACAGACACTGCCTCCCATTCGCACCGGCCAGTCTCCCGAGCATGAAGCCTCACCCCAGGCCCAGCAGATGCCAAGTGGGGTTAGTTCTGCCTCCGATCCCATGAGCTTCTCTCCCCCCTTCAGGTATCTGCTCCTGCTTGGCCTGTTTCCTGTCCAGCCCCTGCCAGGTGGCCGAGGCGAGGCAAGGCTCTCCCTGCATGTGGGCCTGCTCTTTACACCTGGGTTGGTACCTCCTTCCACTCCGGAAGGCTCCTCTCACCATTCTCCCCATGGCTGATCTCCCCATGTCGGGGGTCCCTCCCCTCAGTTTAGTGACTGGCTCTGAAAAGCTCGAGGGCGGCCATCGAAGATGCGGCCGCAGGCCTTGCTCCCCATCCAGAGGAGAGAAGAGAGATAAGAATCAAGATTCGTGCCAACAACGAGTCCAGTGGAACCCCAGACTCTGCCACACGGAGGCCAGAGGAACTAGATGGTGCCTGGCTGCCACGCCAAGCACTCTGAAAAGGGCCACACCTGAGGGTCCTACCAGAGCGGGAGCAAAGGGTGGGAAAGAACTCCATGTCTCGTCCTAACAGAAAACCGGGAGACTCACTGGTCGTCGGAGGCTGGTGGGAGCCCCAAGGCTAGGTGTGGCCCTTAATTCAGGTCTGGGGCTGACCTCAGATCTCAGCGTTTGCCTAAGCAACCATTTAAGGTCAAAAGGGCTGCGTTTCCCAAGGACAAAGGTCAGAAGGGTTAGGAGAGGCTGGAAGGCTTGCAAGGAGACAGAGCATCTCCTGAGGGCATCAGAACTGTAGGGGTAAAATGAAGTCTGCCCTATGACCCTTCCCCTAATTCGTGGGAGAAAGACAAGGCTTTCTACTCGGGTCAAGAGTCGCTGTCTCAGAAGCCCACAGGGGCAGCGCTACTCTCACTGGGTCACTAGGAGTCAGCATCCACTTGATGACAATGAGTTGGGTTAATTCATGATAAAAGGTGTCAAAAAAAAAAAGATTCCGCTCAGCTGTGCTCCCACCCTGGTTCTAGTTTCTTGCACTAAGCAGCCCCTCTCACCCGTGTCCCAGGAAGCACTGCCCATTGTCTTGTGTTCAAATCCACCCATCAGGTGCCCCTGTGCCTGCCAGGAGGGCTGGGCTCCAGTGTCCAATGGCTGCTTCTGTGGACCTGGAGCACCAGCATGCCTCTGGGTGGGCGCCGGACTGGGGCAGACCTTGGATGCGAGCTCTCCTCTGGGGACACTTGTCACCAGGCAGGCAGGCTGTGTGCTCGCTGCCCTCGCCATGGAGAGTAAAGGAACACCACCCCTTGAGGAAGGCTTGTGAGGGGTGCTGGGGGAGAGGGCCTGGTCTTCCTCCGCTCCTGCCGCACTGGCTGCCCTCCCTAAAGGCTTTCCCTTGGGGCCTTCGCCCTTGCCAATGCCTTGTCTCCCCAGACTTCGGCCAGCTCGCTCTCTCTCTCTCCCTGGTTGATTCGTGGGGTCTGATGGGTAGCTTGGGTGACAACTGGGCAGTGGCAGTGCCCGAGGCATCCTGCAGGGAAGGTGAGAATGCTCCCTCTGAACCACCGGCCCCCCAGCACAGGGACAGGGCAAGGGCACACAGCTGATGCCTCGCTGAGCAAATGAATGCAAGGAGGGCTTTGCTGCCCCCCAGAGGGCATGGGGGAAGGGTCGGGGAGCGGGGCAAGGCAGGGGGCCTGGCGGGCATGAGCATGGGCATCAGTTACCTCCCCTCCCGGGTGTGCCACTGGCTGCCGGCGGGAGAGCTGCGTCTCGGACCCACTGCAGGAGCGCTCGTCTCCCTCCTCGTGCAACACGGACGAGTCCTGGGACAGGGACCTGGAGATGTGGGCAGTCCGCTGAAGCCAAGGCCACGGGGGCCCAGAGCTCCCCAGAGGGAGAGGACCTGGGGGACTGAGGGACGGGTGGGCACAAGGACCAGGAATGGATGGAGGCCTCTTCTGGGTGTGCAGAGAGCTCTGCTGTTTTAACTTTCGCCCCTTCAGTGGCTCGCTGTCTGAACTTGAGGAAAACCATTGGCATTTCAGGAGCTCAAAATTTTCATCTGTAAAACACTTTCCTTCACTCTACCTCAGAAATATAGGGTCTGTGCTGAAACACCCCCCACCCCCCACCCCTTTCCACCAAACCACAGCCATTGATTTCTTTCTGACTCCTGGCAACCCTGGTGAACAGGGTGTAACTGCCCAGGGTGTCTGCGACTGTAAATCTAGTTATGGAAGCAGATTACCTCGTCATTCATGTAGGGAGCAGCGGGTGGGTTTGAACCACAACCTTGTGGCTAGTAGCCTGACGTTTAACCCATGGCACCAAAAGGACAACTGCAAGCAACCAAGGAAGATCACAGCTTCCTTCAGCCTCTTCCTCCTCTAACACCGTCTGAAGGGATTTATCCTAAGCACCACATGCACCATTCCAGTTCCCGCTTTCCTCCAAGGGTCATGTGAAAGCCGGCACCGAGGGAGGCACAAAGAAGCGAGGCCGGCCGCGTTGCGTGTGGGCTGGCTACTCACTTGGAGAGGCTCTTCTTGAGCTTGAGTCCCTGGCTGCCGCAGTCAGACAGGCGGTCGAGGGGGGAGAGCGTCCTGACAGGGGGCAGGTGACCATCACTGCCGTACGAAGGCAGCATTCCTGAGAGGTGGCCGTCGCCAAGCACGTGAAGTGGAGGGACCGCTGGGGACGGGGTCAGGGGCCCATTGAGGGCTTCCAGAAGAGACACCACTTCATAACCCGGTGGGACGTTCTCCGAGGACTAGGGAACCAGAGAGAGGTGGGAAGATGAATGAAATCCCCCTCCTCCCACGGCAAGCTCACGGTGCCTCCTCTACATTGGAAAAGGGTTTGCTTTTCCATCCGGACAAGGAAGGAGCCGGCGTGGAAGCATGCCCTGAATGTGTGTGGAAGGCTCGGCTTTCCAGATTACAAAGGAAAGAGAAATAAAGGCTATCACAGGAACTCTGGAGACATAAGCCATGTCTCGTGACGCCGCCACCCAAAGAAAACGTGTGTGGACATTTGGGCCCTGCTTTCTTGATTCAGAGTCGACTTGATAGTGTGAAGCGTCTGGGTTTTGGTTCTGTAGGCTTTACATGTTTGGCTCTGCCTGTGAAGGACGATTTTATAGCTTGCTCATTTGACTGAGTGTAAAACACACCATTTCTGAAACCTTTTCATGTATATATTTTCACTCACGACATTGGCCTCCTGACTATTCCACCACTCAGTGGTGTGGCGGCGGTCCTGACCCCACAGGGCGGAGCAGAACTGCCGCAGGGGCTTCCTAGACAGTGACCGTTAGGGGAGCAGATTGCCAGCCTTTCTCCTGCAGAGCAGCTGGTGGGCTTGAACTTGAAACCCTGCGTTTAGCAGCCGAGTGCGTAACCATCAGCCACCACCGCCGTGCCTCCCATGTGAACAAGGCTCTGACCACCCCCTCTGCACACGTCTTTTGACTCGGTCACCCTTGGCATTCAAGTTTCGCACTTTGGTGGACCAGGTGAGCTGTGGATGCTTTGGGGAGAACACATGTTCAGTTTGTGGGGGAAGTTCACACAGCAAGTTGGTTCCACGGAACCACTTCCATACGTGCTGTTCTGTGTTACCAACTGATGCTGTGATACGGCCGCTGGTTACATATTTTCCACACGTGGCAACATTTGAATGAGCATCTTTCTAGTTGTTTTCTATCCATCCAACTCCTCTATCTCAGCCTCCCCCATCTTTGCTTTATGGTGAATGCTGACCTGTTTGGCCTTAGAGAGAGAGCGGTATCTATTTGAAAGCCCACGCTCTCATGGGTGATGTAGCTGACCTCATGAGCCACCCTGCTACTTAGCCGGAAGGTGGTTTGGGGTAGTGATTCAGTTCAAACTCCTCAGGGGCCCGCCAGTCTTGGGATGGGTGTTGTAAGTCTCTTGATACACAGCTTTGGCTGTGTTTGTTTTTGCCCCCCTCCCGAGGGTCTGTCTGGGTGCTTCTCTGCCGGCACCGAGTGTCTTTCAAACACTTTCTAATTTGAAAGGAGAGAAACTGGTATTTAATTTTCATTGGCATCATCATATCGCTTTATTTCTCCTGTGGTTGCTAACCAGCTGGGCTGCCTTGAGGCACTATTGCTGGCTTTGCAGACCCGACTGATCGCCTGTTTCCTGCGGGTTGATTCACAGGCGCTGCCACCGAGACTGCTATCTACGTATGCTGTGGGAGCTTTCGGGAAAAGACAGTTTGTTCTTTTGCCTTTTAATTTTGGCCGTGTTTCAGACCCTCTGGAGCTAACCTTTCTATATAGTTAAATGTACGGATTCGTTTTCAGTTTCCCATTGCCTTTCTTTAATGAACTTTGATTTAGACGGGGGTCCCATTGCTTTTAGAGAGCCGTCTCCCTCCAAAGTCAACTCTGTCAGAACCTATGATTTTGCTTGGTGTTCTGTGACAGGAGACGAGTTGCTCCCGCTGGAATGGGGTACCTGGTCAGTCTGAAACAGCGGACTAGTTATCCCCCACGCCCTTGGTTGACTAACCCCTCCCTTCCTCAGAGTTGGAGTATGCTGTCCTATAACTGCTGAGCGCCCCCGGCAGGACCCCCTCTCCCGGTTCTCCCTCTGAGGGGCGTTTCACTGTCTCAGTGCTCTGCTGCTGAAGCCAAGAAACGGAGAAAGGAAAACGGTGACCTTCTTCAGGGGCTCAAATAAATGGTAGTAAACTGTGTTCAACCGCAGACAATCAACCCCTTGTTTCTGCCCGAGGGAGTTTCACAGCCAGCCCCCCTGGAGTGTCCACTGTTAGCAGAAGGCTCTGGAAATGGTAGCTATGACTGGACACGCAGGGCCCAAGGAAGGAAAGAGAGCCTTGGTGGCCAGCACCCCATTTTTGGCTGCCATGAGGTTGGTTCTGACCCAACTTGGCCCACTGGGTGGCTAGGTTCCTGACCAGCTTCTAGGTCACCTGGGGCAGGAGGGTTGAGGGTCAAAGGGCATCAAAGGGCATCTGCTTCCCCGAGGGTGGGGTGGGCAACTTACGGAATGCTCCTCTGAGTCTGACGTCTGGGAAGAGATGATGGGGTTAAAGCTGCCTGGGGACAAGGGGCCCAGCTTCTTCCTCATGGCTCGGATCTGGAGCAGCGCCCGGAAGGCTGGGCAGAAGAAAGCAGGCCATTAGGCCACCCAAAGGCAGACTAGATGGGGTGGGGCCTGGGTCAGGGCCTCCCTTGCACCCGCCTGCTCCAGCGGGGACTTACGGAGCCGGCAGATGGGGCAGTTGTTGGCCTGGTAGCGCAGGGTGTCTGCACAGGTGTTGCACAGGCAGAGGTGGCGGCAGGGCAGGATCAGGGTGTCCCGCACGTCTGAGAGGCACACCACACATTCGGCACTGTTGTCACTCACTTCGTCCTCAGCCACCTGCAGGGAGACATGGAGTCGCAGGCCTAAGGAGGATGCGCAAGAGCTTGCACTGTGCTGGGCTGCCCCGTGGTCCAGGTGCCCCCTGACCGGTGCCCCTTGTCTGGGGTGGGCACTGAGGCACACACACGGCCCCTGGGGCTCTGCTCTGCTCTGCCCCTCTGAGCCGAGGGGAGAGGGTTGGGCCCTGAGGGGCCCTGCTGGGAAACTGAGGCAGAGAGCCACACAGAGCACACTGGCTCCCAGTCTTTTTTTTGCCAAAGTGCCAGAGGTATCCTCAACGGAAATGAGGAACAAGGTGCTGGATACCAACCAGTGCCTGAGTTTGCAGGTGGAACTTGGAGATGCCGGCTCAGATCCACACGGAAGGCAGGAGCCCTGGGGAATATGCTCGGCTGCCCACTGAGAGGCCTTGGGAGACTGGCCTGGCCATCATCCTTTGAACAGTCCATCAGGGGGAACCCTGAGGAGCCTGCACATTTCCAGCTCTACCCCTTGACAGGGGCTCTTTGGGAACTTTGGAGAAAACCTACCTTAGAATCTTGGGTGTTGTACTTGTTTTCAATCCCATAGATCTCCTGCAGGAGGTAGCTGACCCCATCTACCTGGAGAGCGGACAGAAAAGTTCAAGGACAGGTGGGCTGATTGAGGCTAGAGTGGCTCCTCCACCCCAACCGGCTCACGATGCAAACCACCAAAGCCCTGCCTCACAGAGGAGGCTCGATTTACTTAAGCTTTCTCTTTGAGAAGAAAAAGAAATACAGCATTACGTTCAACAGCTAACATGGAACTGGCAAATCCTTCAGAGAGCTCTCACAGCACACACACCCCTGATGGGAGCTGAGGAAGGCCGAGGCCAGGAGCTGGGTGGGGCAGTGGCAGCATTCGCCTAGGCTTACAGGGGTAGGCAGCTTCCCTCTAATCTTGATATAATAAGCGTTATGTATAAAATGTATCCACCCCTTGTGGGACTGTGGTGGCTTGTGTGTTGCTGTGAGCAGGGTCACCCAAGATGAACCGATTTCAGGAGCGTTTCCAGATGAAGAGCGGAGGACAAAGAAGGTCGAGGCTGTCCGCCTCGGAGGAATCCCCACGGAAGATCTTACGGATAGCACGGAACCCTCATGGCATGCGGAAGGCTTACTGGATGGAAGCAGATCAGGGTCGGAGATTGTGCCAGAAGGGGGCACTCAGCATGTGACTGAAGAGGTGCCGCCTTCTCCAAGCCAAGTCAATGAACCACAGGGACATGGATGGAATAACGCCTTTGGGACCTTCATTCGCTGACAGGGCACGGCTTGAAATGAGAAGAAATGACTGCAAACATGAATCAATAATTGGAACTTGGAATGTATGAAGTTTGAACCCAGGAAAATTGGCAATTTTCAAAAATGAAACGGAACATGTAAAGATCTTTATTCTAGTATTAGTGAGCTAAAATGGACAAGGTGAATCAGAAAATCACATGGCTTACTATGCTTGAAATATGACTTATACATATTCATGAGGAATGGCGTTGTATTCATCATCAAAAAGGATATTTCTAGAGCTATCCTGAAGTACAATGCTGTCTGTGATAGGATCATATCTATCTGCTGACAATAAAATCCAATAAATACAACTATTATTCAAATTTATGCACCAACCACTAAAGCTAGTGAGGCAGAAATGAAAGAAACCTACCAATGTCTTCAGCCTGAAACGAATGATGCATGCGATGAAGATGCATTGATAATAACTGGAGATGAGAATGCAACAGCTGGAAACAGGAAGGAGTAATAGTCAGAAAATGGACCTTGGAGACAGAAGCAAAGCTGGAGATCACATGATGGGATTTTGCAAGACCAATGACTTGTTCATAGCAAATCCCCTTTTTCCAACAACACAACCAGTGACAATACACATGGACTTCTCAGATGGAATACACAGAGATCAAACTGACGTCTCTGGGAAGAGATGATGAAGAAGCTCAATTTCAGCAGATAAAACCAGGCCAAGGGCCAGCTGTGAGACAGCCCATCAGTTGCTTATATGTAAGTTCAGGATGAAGCTGCAGAAAATGAAAACCAATCCAAAGGAGCCAAAATATGACCTTGAATCTATCCCACCTGGATTTCAAAAACATCTCAACAACAGACTGGGTGCATTAAAGCCTACCGACTGAAGATCTGCTGAGCTGTGGGCAGTCATCAAGAGCATCACACAGAAGGTCATGCAAAAGACAGGACAGAAAGAAAGATCAAAGTGGACATCAGAAGAGAATCTGAAACTCGCTTTTAATCATATATACTCGAGTATAAACCGACATGAATATCAGCCGAGGTACCTAATTTTACCACAAAAACTGCATTAAAATGTGCTGAAAAACTCAGCTTATACAGGAGTATATACTGTAGTGAAGGCAAATGAAAGAAATGATGAAGTCAAAGAGCTAAATGGAAAATTTCAGAAATCAAATATAACGGATGTGCAAGGGCCTGGGTTAGACAACCGAAAAGGAAGAACACGCCCAGCGTAAAAAATCAAGTCTCAAGTTGTGAGATTAAAAGATGAGGAGCTGATAGCAGGGGCTCAAGTAGAAAGCAAATGTTTTGAGAATGATAAGGGCAACAAATGTACAAATGTGCTTGACACACAATGGATGGATGGATGGATTGTGATAAGAGTTGGACGAGCCCTCAGTAAAGTGTTTTTCTTTCTCGAAAGATTAAAAGATTCCAGGGACAAAATATTGAATGGCGCAGGAAGCATCACCAGAAGATGGAAAGAGCACAGAGTCACATCCCACCGTTTCAGGAGGTAGCGTGTGAGCAAGAGCCTATGGTGTAGTGAAAGCATCAACCAAAAACAAGGCTCCAGGAACGGAGGAGGGAACACCAATGGACATGTTCAACAGCTGATGAAGCACCGGAAACATTCACTCATCTGTGCCAGGAGATGTGGAAGACAGCTACTTGGCCAACTGACTGGAAGAGATCCGCATCTGTGCCCATTCCAAAGAAGCGTGACCCAACAGGATGCTCACATTAATAAGAAATATCACTGATGTCACATGCAAATAAAATTTTGCTGAAGATCCTCCAACAACAGTTACAGCAGCATGTTGAAAAGGAGCTGCCAGAGGTTCAGGCTGGATTCAGAAGAGGATGTGGAACAAGGGATGTCATTGCTGATGCCAGATGGATCTTGGCTGAAGAGCAGAGAAAACAGAAAGATGTTTACTTGCATTTTATTGACTACTCAAAGACATTCAGCTGTGTGGATCATAACAAACTACGGACAACATTGAGAAGAATGGGCATTCCAGAACACTTCACGGTGCTTCTGTGCAAGCTGTACGTGTCTCAGGAGGCAGTTGTGAGAACAGAACAAGGGAACGGTGCACGGTGTAAAGTCAGGAAAGGTGTGCACCAGGTTGTATCCGCTCACCAAGCTGATGCGATCTGCACGCTGACAAAGCTGGCCTGCATGAAGAAGAGGGCCTCAAGGCTGGAGGAGGCTCATTCATAGCCCGTGGGATGCGTGTGACACACTTGTCTTGCTGATGGTGAGGAGGACTTGAAGCACTTGCTGATGAGATCAAGGTTTGCAGCCTTCAGGATGGATTATGTAAAGAAAACTAGGCCAACAGGTATCATCACAATAAATGGAGAAAAGATTGAAGCTGTTAAGGATTTCATCTTGTTGCAGCAGTCTCGAAATCAAACAATGCACAAGACCTCTTCAAAGTGCTGAAAACCATGGATGTTACTTTGAGGGCTAAAGTGCGCCTCCCCAAGCCATAGCATTTTCTACGGCCTCACATGCTTGTGAAAGTTGGACAATGATTAAGGAAGACAAAAGAATCGATGCATTTGAATGATGGTGCTGACAAAGAATACTGAAAGTACCACGGACTGCCAAAAAACAAACAAATCTGTCTTGGAAGAAGTAGGGCCAGAATGTTCCTTAGAGGGAAGGATGGCGAGACTTCATCTGATGTACTTTGAACCTGTTGTCGGGAGAGACCGGTTCCTGGAGAAAGTCATCGTGCTTGGTAAAGCAGAGGGGCAGGGACAAAGAGGAAGGCCCTGGACAAGATGGATGGACACCGTGGCTACAGCTCTGGGCTCCAACAGAAGAACAGTCGTGAGGCTGGCGCAGCACCAGGCAGTGTGTCGTTCTGCTGTGTGCAGGGTCGCTGTGAGTCAAGACCTACTCGATGGCACCCACACACAACAGCAGCACATCTATGCTTAGACATCAAAGTAGGGCCAAAGAAGAGACGGAGGAGACTCAGTGGGCAAGGATGCAGATAGGGCAGCCAAAACACTGGAGCCCAAAGAGATAGCAAGACCTTGGAGCAGAGACCAATGCAGCCCCCAGTATCTCCCTCCAGTTTAAAACGCGCAGCAAAATTGTCTCTCTTGGGTCTTGTGGCCTACAAAGCAAGACAGGAGTGCGCCTGGATTTCCAAAACGTAGGTGAATCCAAATGCTGGACAGAATGGCAACCATTAAGGGGGGAAGCCCTGCTGGAATGGAGTTACACAAAGCAAGGGCAGTGTGTGAGTTGAGGAACAACTAAGTCTCTTGACTGGCTGAGCGGAAATGATGGTGCCCGACTCAGAGGTGGTGGCTGACTGGGTTGCTGTGGGTATGTTGGTCTTCCCAGTCCGGGAAGTATCTAGTCTCTGCTCTTCAAAGGTCTCACCCCACCTCTCCAAGTCTCCCCTCTAAGCCTTCCACCGGTCCTTTCTCCCACTCTGGTGTGTGTTCTAGGTCACTCACATCTTGATCGGAGTTGATTCCAGTTTCCCATTGTTGGCCACCACTGCACTGGCTTGAACCAGTTCAAACCCCTGCTCTACCACCCTGTCCCCATCCCACTACTGGGACATGGCAGTACCAAAGTTGGCTCTTCTTTTGTTTCCTTGTTCAAGCCCACTCTCTATCTGCCCAGTCTCTGCTTCTCAGGGCCCCTTCCCCAAAGACCTAGCCCATGACGGACTCGATTCCTACTCCTGGCTGGAAAGAGTCTGTTGTTAACGCTAACCCAGCAGCAAGAAACAACACGTGAGTTTCTCTTTCGCTGCCCACCTTCACTGCCTCCTGTGGAACTGGGAGTCTTCCACGAGGCAACTCACCAGGCAGAACCCTGGCTTAGGACCTGAGTCCCTTTCAAAACCTGCTTCAACCTCATGCTTGTACTGAAAAGGACATCATTAACAATAAAAGTTTTAATAACAAATTTATACTCAAGTACTATTGACTACTTTAAAGTGGGGAGAACATGGAACTCAAAAGGGTGACTCGTGAAGAACTTGGGGTACGTCTTTCACCTGGCTACAGAGGCCTTCGTTGTCATCTCAACCAAGGCACACCCTACCTCCTACTCAATTACTACCCCCCCCACGCAACACCCCCATGGGCACCACTCCGAGAGTGGACAGACACATGCTTTCACAGCCTGGTTAGACTGCCGACAGCCAGGCGTCATGTGCTGGTGGGTGGCCAGCGCACTCTGCATGTGACCGAATAAAGGGTGGGAGCAATTCAGTGATGGGCTCAAACTGGCCCTGGACTGGACCCCGATACTTTATCCTTCCGCTGGAAATGGTTTCGCTCTGGCATTTTCCATCCCAAGAGCGCTCCCTAAAGCTGATGCCAGGAGACATCTCCTCCTTCCTTTTCAGTGCTCTGTGCGCAGACGGACGCTGCTTTCAGACCAAGGAAGCTAGCCAGTAATGGCACCCCAGCATTTCTTTCAGGCCACCCACGTCCTTTCCAACACAGAAGCACTTGCACCACGTTTCTTTTCTCCTCTGGGACTCAAACAGATACTGGTACAGCAGTGTTTGCTGCAGCGCTAGTTACAATAGCTTAAAGGTGGGAGCAGCCCAAATGCCCATCAGCGATGAACAGCCAGCCAGCACGTGGTCTGGGGTAGTCCTCAGCCCTCCAGGGAAATGACGGGCTGATACCTGCTAGCCCGAGGGTGAAGCTGGCAAGCATGGGAGGTGAAATAGGCCAGACACCAGGGGTCAGGCAGTGTGAGCTAGAGGTTCCCAGGGTGGTGGAGAGCTGCTGCTTATTGGGTAGGGTACAAGAGTTTCTGTTTTGGGTGATAATATATAATTTTGTGAATATAATTAATGCTACTGAATTGTACACTTAAAAATGGCTAAAATGGCAAAGTGTGAGGAAAAAGTTTTTAAAGGGAGAGGAGGAGGAATGTAGGAAGTTAGGGGAAAATGACCAAAAATAGACGAAGAAAAACAGAGAGCAAGCGAGAGTGAGAGAGAGAGAGAGATATCAACCGACAGTCCCCAGCCATCGGATACTTACTACTTGTTTCTGTTTGAGGGGCTTGACGCAGAAAGTCCCATCTGTGTGCTGGAATGAAAACATGACAGTTAGGACAATGAGCCAACCCAAACTGGATCCTCTGCTGTTCTGACTCGAAGAACTGCCCCTGTGACTGTAACTCTTTACGGGAGTGGAGTCTCATCTCTCTTTGGCAGTGCAGTTGGGGGACTCGAACTGCTGTCCTGTGGCTAGCAACTCAGTTCATATTCCACTAGACCACCCGAGCAATGAAATAGCTCTCATAACTTTCCCCACTATCAGCACTGCTCCAGCCACAGTTGGAATTCGAACATCCTCATACTCAGGGCAAGGAGCCCTGGCGGTGCAATGGTGAAGTGCTGCCACAAGTGGGAAAGTGAGCGCTCGAACCAAACAAGGGTTGGTGGTTGGAGCCCACCCAGAAGTGCCTCAGAAGAAAGAGAACTCAGGCCCTGAAAACCCTACGGAGAGCAGTTCTACTTGGGGCCATGCCATTGTCCCCCCAAGTCAGCCAGTTTGGGCCTTCAGTTACCTGATCTAACCCTCCATTCTGAGAAGAGCAAATGGAAGCTTCTGGAGTGGATGGTCCAGGGCTGTTGTAACACCCCGGCCAGCGCCCAGTGCAGCCCAGCACAGCCTCTGACCAGGCGCCAGGAGCAGACAGAGGCCTCTCCCTGAGACTGACTCACCTTTTCAAAAGTGCCCAGCAGCACGTGACAATGGCCGAAATACTCTGAAAGAAAGAAAGGCCTCGATAGGGAAGGCGGAAGCCAAGCGCCACCCCCAGACATCCACCTACCACCCCAAATCCTCCGGGGAACCCGTAAGTGTGCTAGGCAGTCCTGCGGAGCAGGGCGGGGTGTGTTACCCAATACTGGTCCCACCACCCAAGGGGTCCCAATGCAGAAGGCTATGAGCACTGGCTGGCTGGTCCTCACAGAGCCAGCAGACCGTTGGGACCACAGGGCAGTACATGGCCTCAGGAGCCACCAGTCACCCACCATCGCCTTCATCCACCACAGCATGCACCACCATAGGGTAAACTTCGCGGTCCAGATCGAAGCCAAGCTGCAGGGGAAGCGGAGGAGAGAACAATGACCCATCACACGCGCAGAGGCCGCAACCTCACCTCTGCTCACCCATCACCCGTCTGACTGGAGGCGACCAGGCAGCGCCCTAAGACAGCCCTGTAAGCCTGCAGGCTCGGTCTCTGAGCACAGATGTCTCAAAACGGGCTACTATTTGAGGAAGAGAAAATGTAAGGAGGGTAGTTACATTCCTGGTGTGAAGCAAGCAGCCCTATGCAGGAAGGGCCGGGAGCAGCTCCAGGCTGAAGGGCAAGCAGCTCTCTGTCTTGCTGTTTCACAAAGTGGGCAAAGCCGCCCCTGGAGGCATGGGAACCAGAACCCCACCCTGTCTCCTGGATCATGGGCTATAGGGACAAAGGCTTTTAATCTCCTTGGGACACTGAGTCCTTTTTTTTTTTTTTCCTGAAAAGGGGGCGGCAAGGAGAATAAATTTGGGAACCTATGGGGGAGGGAGACCCTCCTGAGTCTTAGGAGGCCACTGCCCTGCTTTCTCCCTGGCGAACCTGGGCATAAATCGCTAAGGTCACCAAGCACTGAGGACTGAGGACTGAGCATCTTACTTCTGACCATCAGCACTGTTGTGTGACAGACATATTAAGAGGAACCAACCAAAAACAAACACCAACACCAGCAACTGCCAATGCATCATCAGACACCTCGTGGGATCGGGTTCCCAGGTTTGGAGGTTTAGGATCATGGCTTCATGTACCATTCCAATAAACTGGCCGAGTAATGTGTTCCATGCCTTCATACGATCTCCTAGCTCACTGCAGAGTGGCTGGGGTCCTGAAAGCTTGCAAGTGGCCATCCAAGGCCACCCTCATGAACAACCAAGGAAGAAGGGGACTTAAATAAGAGGAGAGGGAATAGGTGGTTTGTGGTCTCCATGAACAGCTGCCTCCTTTGCCATGAGACCAGAAGGCCTGGATGGTGCCCGGCCACCATGCCTGAACATTCTATCCAGGATTTTATAGAGAAATGCTGGTCATAGCAGAATCTCAGAAAATCATGGAATCTAGAATTTCTGGAGCCCCGAGGGCTGGATGAACCCCTGACATAATTGACCTGGGATCATCTTTAACCCTTAGATCAAAATAGTCCCCAGGTCTTCTCACAGCCTAACAATAGTTTAGCGTGGCTAATAGGTGTCCTCCTTGAGGACTATGCTCTTTGAAGATCGCTATCGTATCAAGTGGATAACAGGAACTTGAAAGATGAGATAGGACACGTGGGGGTCAGTGAGTTTATGTTCGTGGGAGGGACAGCGCAGCACAGGGAGTGAGAAGGATGGCACAGCTCAAAGGGCGTGGCCAGCACTGCAGAACTGTACAGAGAGCCATTGCACTGGTGTGTGGTTCTGCTGTGTGCACGCTCAGCAACAGCAATACAACCCACAACATAGACGAAAGCACTAGTGAGCTCAGCTCTACTCTGATACCCATGGGGTGGTGCACGACGGTGTCGACCTGGCAGCAGGTGGGAGAGACCGCTCACCTCCTCTTCAGCCCATTCCGAGGGGTCGACAGTGTGAGAGGGGAGGCAGAATTGCTGGCACACCCCTCGCTTGTAATGCACCGTCTCCGACTGCAGGCTGTTGTCTTTGGGGATGTAGCTATCGATTGAAGTGGGAAGCAAAGCACAGGTTAGGCTCTTGCTGGAAGACCTGACCAATTTTCTCTGTCTGTCTCATGACTCGTCTCAATGAGCACCAGGCCCGAGGCCCGGAAAAGGCCTCCCTGATCATCGGTTGGCTCTGCTCTTGCTTGGTAATGCTCTCAAACCTCTCCACCTAACCCACACAGCCCAAAGGGTCGCTCGGTGTGGGGGTGGCATCTGCATCGCTGAGTGCATTCCTGATAGTATCTCGGTGACCTGCCGGGCTCCGCGGTCCACTGCCACTGTAGAGATGGCACCCGGGAAGGGCAAGAGCATCTGAACTCAGAACTAGATCTCGCCTGGGTGAAATGACAGGTGACCTTCCTGGGAGTGGGGGTTTGAGAAGGACACTGACCCTGAGCTGGCTGGGAAGGAAGCGGCTCACTCAGCCTCGTGTTCTCTTACCTGGCAATGCCATTCTGGAACTCCTCTGTGGCCTGGTAGTAGATGGTGATGGCCACCCTCGCATCAGTGTCAAAGGTGAACTCCACGTTGTAGTGCACTCTGGCTTTGCTGGCCTCTTCGCCGGGGCTCTTCACCTCCTCGGCGCATCTAGGGAGCCGAGAGAGCAGCTCAGCATGTTCAGGAAGAACCTTTCAGGTGGGGTGGCAATGAGCCACACGGCCACACCTGCCCCCTTGCGTGGTTTCCAGACACGCTGATCAAGCGACACTGGTTACAGCCCTCACCTGCACGCTGTCTCAACCTTCCCAGTACTTCAGTTGTAGCTGTCTCACTTCCACAAACTTACCTCTCTGCCCCACAGCCTTCTCACCGATGCTTTAGAACAGCTGTTGACCCTTTGGTCTTAATGAGAGAAATAATAATAATCATCCCTTCAAGAACACAATACTCAAAAGGTGAGAATCTGCATTTGTAGAGCTACTCTGTGCACTTCAAGGTGTCTGCAGTGTGCAATTCAAAGTGTGCAGAATGGAGCAACTCAGGGCTATGGCCTTGGGGACCCCTCCAGCTTCCACAGGGCAGCGTGTCTCGGTTCTTGAAGAAGAATCTGAAGTCCTGGACAGTTTTCTCTTTTCTGTTAGGGTCCATCTATTCTGTCCGTGAGCAGACCGGTCAGCAGTGACAGCGGGGCACCACCTAGCACTTCGGATCTCAGGCTGGAGGCGGCAGTGGTGCCTGGAGACCATTCGGCCTGTACCTCAATTTAGCGTCTTCTCCGATTTGGGAGCTTCTTTTGTTCCAGATGGAGAGAAGACCCAGCATTTGGGGTAGGGGGTAGACGGCACAGTAACTCTTTGAAGTCTGCTATTATCTTGCCTTTTTGTCCTGGGAAATTCATTGTGGACTTTTTACCATAACCACATACATAGGTCTGCGGCAGGCAGGGGGGTAGAAAGGGTGGCTCCAGAAAGATCATGAAAAAATCCAGTTTCTTTTCATTCCCGCTTCCTACAACTGTTTCGGATGCGCCCTCGTGCACACTGTCTTCATCTCATCTGCAGTCACTGGCTTCCTGCTGTACCTTGAGGGCATTCGAGCCATTTCTGCTACAACGAACCTCCTCCTGTGCCTGCCGCTTTTCACCGAAGTCCTTCACCACATAGTTTAAATTGTTTCCACGGGCCTGCTACCAAAAACAGCAGGCTCCCCCATCCCTCCACCTCCAAGAGGAAGCCCCTTTGACCTCTGTCAGCCAGTCTCTTTGGCATTTACCTGCATGGTTCTACATAACAGACTCAGGTTACCAACTGATTTTCCACTTTTAGGCTCTTATCTTCTGATTTCCAACTACTCAAACAAGACTTTCTCTCTGCCCCCCGCCCCCACCCCAGGGTTGTGACCTGAGCTTGGCTACCTCCGTAGTCTGTGCCTTGCTGTGAGGAGGAAGCCTCAGTCTCGGCTCCGCCACAGTTAGCTGGGTCACTTTTCTTCCCGCTCAGCTAACACCTGCCTTCTCGTGTTCTCCCTCTCTCCACCTTCACTGGCCAGTGGTCTGCGTATTTGCCTGGTTCAGACCAAGCTGATGTGCCAGGCGCTCCCTTCACTCCTTCGTAGACCAGGCCCGAGCCTCTGGCCTGCAGCCCTGTCCCTGGCAGAGACACCTTCTAGGTTCCCTTTTTCACCGCCCGGCTGGGAGGCCGCTCCCGGGGAGCTCCGCTTTTCCTGAAGTTCACGTCTTTCTCTTTCTTGGGCAACTTGTTCCTTTGGGGGGCAGCACATGGTCCACTGGCTTTCTGTCAGGGTGTGCTGAGGGGAGACACTTCGGAGAGGGTTTTTTGTTTTTGTTTTTAAAAAGAAACATCTTGAGTTTGGATTCAAGTCATGTGACGCTTGACTTTTTAAAAGAGGAAATGAAAATAAATATTCCCCCAAGTCAACACTCGCCTAAATGCCTAATGGGACGTGGAACACCAGGGTCAAGGGGACGATGCTGGGACTTCTACTGTCCTCGCGTACTCTCATCCTTCCTGGGAAGTGTGGTGAGAAGCCCTGGGAGGAGCCCCGTGAAAGCATGGCCCCGCTCGCTCTTCCTTGGCTCCCACTGCTGACAGCTTTGCCTTGGCAGGAATCTCCCCTCCAGTGTCCACTAACTCCCCATTGAGAAGCATGTGCCCTTTGCATCAATTGTGTAGGTTACAGGTGACTGACTGTCCTCCTTCTACATGCCCTGGTCTCCTAGGACGACACCCGGGGACTGGAGCTGCCACACCTGCCCTCAATGTGACCCGACCTTTCCCTCCTGTTTCCATCTCTCTGCTGCTCTGTTCCACCGTCTGTCTCCTCAGCATCAGGCCTGCTGCCTTTCTCTTCTGCTGCTACATTCTTCATTTGTGAGAGCCCCGTGGTGCGTCTGAGATGCTCTGCGCCGTTGTGTCCAGGAAATCCAGGGACAGCATCCCTCTTCCTCTTGGGGTGGGGGTGGGGGCTCCTTGGTTCTGCTGCAAGCAGTCCTCACCTGCTCACTGATCGCTGCTCACTATGGAGAGATCTGAGTGGGCTGAGAGCTTGGGCACAGTGGGCCTGGGGGACACCGAGCTTCCCTGAGGCTTGGTCCCCTGGGCTGCTTGAGGAGGGAGTGTGAGGTCAGTCCTGTGGGCTGCTCCCTTGAACGGCCAGGATCCCTCAGAGCAATGTTTTCCTCTGTCCTGGCAGAGGCCTGAGTGCCAGCATTCTGGGAGTGGAGAAAGGTGGGGAGGCCAGCGGGAGGCCATGGCACCAAGGATGCCTGGATTCCTTCCTTCTTCCCTTCCGAATCTGACCCTCAGCTGGGCCCAGTCCCCCAAGGCTAGAGGCTACTGGGGTGCGGCTTCTCTACCAGTGTGGGGTCTGGCTTTGAAGTATGCAAGGCAGAGAGCTACTGCCTCCTCCATAGACTTGCCTCGGCACAGCCAGTCCTGGGCCTCTGGGGCTGTCTCTGTGTAAACCAGTTGGCACCCAGTTTTTTCTGTTGCCAGCTCGGTGCTCAGGTCTGCAGAGTCATGTAACATTCACCAACTGCTCCAGGCTTGGAAGGCTGGTCGCTGCTGCTCCTCACGGAGGAGCCAAGGCTTTTAAAATGCTCTGCCAGGCTTGGAGCTGGATTGTGACATATTCGGTCCTCCATCTCGGCCTAGAAGTCCTCCCTCCCCATCAGCTCAGAACCACCAAGCCTGCCCTTTTTGGTGAACCTGGTGAGCACGGTCTTACTGTGAACACAACGCCAGAGGGTCAGGCTGATGAAAACCATTTTCCAAAGGAGACACCTGATGCTTCGTGACAGTCTGAATGAGTATTGAGGGATGATGGGGGTGGGGAGAGAGGCTGGGAAGCAGCCAACTGGCCTCCTGTCTTCTGGTCTAGTCCCAGGCCCTCTCGCCCGCTCCTCCAGAACCATGGCTGCACAGGTTTAGTTCAGGCAGGCTGTGGAGGCCTCACGCCGCCTGCGTCAGCAGCTCCTAGGGGCCCGCCCATGAGGCTACAAATTGGTAGATGTCCTGGGGTCCTCTGGCCCGACTGGTCAGGGGATGGAAGAATGGCAAGCTGCTGGTGGGGGGTGGGGGCAGCAGAACACGTAGGGGCAGACAAAATCTAAAGGCTCATCAGAGAGAGACCATGGAGACAAAGGCTGCCTAGGGCTGTGTGTGTGTATGAGTGAGAGAGAGAGAGAGAGAGAGAGAGAATGGTCTAACAGTAAAGAGTAGCAAAAGCTGCTTTTATAGATCTACGGATAAGCTAGAAGCCACTGAATTGTCTCTGAAATGGTCTCAATAAAATCATCAGAGTAACACGTGCTCTAAAAGAGGGAAATAAACTTCCTAATGCCAAGAGGGTTGACTTACATCAAGCTACTTCTTACAAGAAGTGCACCCAAAGTGCTCTTTGCAGGAGCAAGGATGGTGAGACTCCATCTCATAGACTTTGGATGTGTTGTCAGGTGAGACCACTCCCTGGGTAGGGGGGCATCGTGCTTGGTAAAGTGGAGGGGCAGCGACAAAGAGGAAGGCCCTCTACCAGGTGGATGGACACAGTGGCTCAAACGTCTTAACTGTGAGGATGGGGAGGAGCGGGCAGTGTTGTGATAAGATGGCCTCTGAGCTGCCGTCCTGTCCTCCTGGACAAACTGGGGGAACCAAATCTGTCTCCATGGAAACCAGGGAGCCTAGCAGACCCAAAGCCTGGGGCATCTGATGATATATTACACTCTCTGGGGGGTGGATACCCATTTATGTATTATACCCTCTGGGGGGCAGGGGGCACCTGTTTAAAAATTACACGCTTGACAGTAGAACATGAAGATTACCAGTATAAATGATGGCTAATGTAACGATAACAAATGAGCCACCAACCTGGCCATCATCGCTCGTACCTCAGAGGATGGGCACTGGGCTAAAGAGACATAAATGAGGAAAGGTGCACCGAACAAGCACAAGAGGCCCTCCCAGGGCAGGCTCTAGGCGCCATGTCTCCAGTGACCTTGCCCAATCCGCCCCCTCGGGGCCCCTCCAGGCTGCCCTGCTCTTTATGCCACAACTGGATGGTAGTGCCCACCCCTGGGAGGGAGACGATGACACAGGAGCCAGGTGGTCACTGAGGACCCGGTGGTGGCCAGCTTACTTGACTAGTCTTAGCGTGTCCTTCCGGATGTTGATCAGGCTCCTCAGAGTCTTCACCGGCTCCTGGGGCGGCGGGGCGGCATAAGGAAACTGTGACAGAAACAGCAGGTAGGCTGTCAGTGTGGTGTGTGACAGACCTCAGGGGTGGGGTGGGGGCTGAGACCAGACACACTGAGTGAACGTGCCCCAGGTCACTGCTGGCAGCACAGCTGGGCATCGATGTGGCTTCAAAGAGCCAGAGTCAGACTGGTCTGCTCTTCCCATGACAGGCAGCCTTCTGTCTACAACCTCATCATAATACAAAATGGCCACAGATGTTCCCAACAGGCTTTCAGTCTGGCCTCCATGGTGTCTC